TCAATTACTTGCTCTATTATCAACCAAATATTCTTGAAATCGATAGAATTTGTTGTGGACCATCTGATTAAAGACAAAATTGTGCTTTGCAAGCAGAAAAAATCACAATAATGGCTCACTTCTTAAAAAATATCATTTCCATGAAAAAAGGACCATCTTTTTAACTTCAGAAAAAAACACAGAATTAATTATTTCTAGTCTGTTTTTGGATGTATGTTATAGGCGAAGGTCCAAAATACTTGAAACGAGCAACAATTGGTTGCATGGATTGAGAGAAAGTTGAAAAAAATCGACAAATCGGTTGTCCAGAACATAATTTTGATGGTTCGACGCATATTAAGAAAAATCGAAGACAATGCTCCGTTCAGTGTAAAGTGAATGTGCTATTCGATAGCCTATGAATAAAGGTTTATACCAATAAAATAGAATTTAATATTGTGTGTTTGTTGTTTGAATGGCGAACATCTGAATTTAGTGCAAAGACTTTTTACTCATATGTTAACCCAAATCGAACGTGTGAACGATATACAAGCAAAAGAGAAAGGCGAAATTCTGATATATGGTAGTAATTAACAATATAGAAAAACGAAAATGATCATCGTTAAATTCACCTAATTTCTAAAATCATCAATATTTGGCTAAAATATTAAAAAAAAAACAATTTTCTCCATTTTCGAATGTACTATTATAATTTTGCAGTTCGATTAGTTCAGTTGCTTCGGTATATTAGATTCATTAATGAGAAAAAAAGATAATCTCATGCGCACACGTTTGAGAACGGAAGTTGAATATCATCAGAAACGCCAAATTATTTCTCATTCAATTCTGTCGTTGTTTAAGAATAGAACTAAAATCAACTTTGATTTGGTTCACATACATAAGGAAAGTTATATAGAAAGAAAGAAAAAGAGAGAGAAAACAAGTAATACGGGTTAGTGAATCCACCACAAAAGTGGTAAAATTCATTGTATATTGTGGCAGTGATGTGTATTTTATTCATTGAAATCAGCTTGGTAGCTTCAATTGATGGTCTTAAACTATCTCTCTCTCTCTCTTTTTCTCCCGCTCACTTTTTTCTTTCCTTTGCTTTATTTACTTGAAGATGTTTTCTCTCCGAAGTTTTTTTTGCTCTTCTCTCGTTTTTACTAATTTCATTCAATTCATCTTATTCTATTCTACATTGCGTTTTGAGCGGGCCCACCTAACCTTGTCGGTCTTCATCATTTTCTCTAATTACATTTGAATAACGAATTTTGATTTAGTTTTTTCCACCTCTCAATTTTTTTTTTGTGTGCATAAAACCTACATATCAAACAAAAATCTCTCACATTGATCGACGAACTTAGTATGTGTGAGAGTTGATTTTATTGTGGATAAATTAAGCTGATTGCAAATACGCATTTAATTTCAATACATATTAACTAAAAAAACGAATAGCACGAACATGGCAAAAGAACTGCACTTTTTCATTCTCCTCAAACGGTTCATTTTAACCACATATCAAAATTTAAGGACGCACACTTGTCAAAAGTGCTCGGCTAGCTTTAATATTTTTTTTATGAATGTTGAAATGTTTCAGCCGCAAACATCGATTTCAATGGAGAACATGTCCAAATAAATTTATATAAAATTAAACGAAAAAAAATAATAAAATAACCAAAAACAAACGGAAGCTCTTATATCATGTGTTTAGAGACTACATGCACATTTACAATCAAATCGGACTTATTACTCTTGCACTTACATACATAAAATTTACTTAAAATTAAATTGAATTACTTATTACATCAGGAAGGAAAAAAACTTAAAGTTTTCAATGAACAAAGAAAGAAATATATTGTGAATGTGTATGTGTGATGAACGAGCAGGGAAGTAAAAACAATAAGTTTGTAGTGTGCTGTGTACAAAGGGTTAAATGATTTTTTTCTGAAAAAAATTGAGTTGGATTGCACTTCATGGCGAAGGGGAATTCTTCAATGATAATGAATTTCGTTCGCTTTGTCCTCATTTCTTCTCTGCTTTAGTATTTTGATTTTATCTAATCTATGTACTGTTTTTTGTCTATGTTTTTTTTGGCTTACTTTTACTTATCGTTGAATTAATATTTTTAAGCTTAACAAAGAAGAATTTTTTATTTGTTAATGCGTATTCCACCAGTGACCATTATCAATTGAGCTAGAATGATGATGGTTTTCGAATGAGTACGGAGTCTTGTTTTGTTCAGTTCACTTCAAACATAGAACTTCACTGTATATGCGTGACGCTCAAATTCGTTTTGGCCTGATATTCTTTAATGTGTATAGGTTAAAAAAATCCTATGAATTTTCACTATTTAATCATCGTTGAATGAATTGATTTTCATTCTATGTTCAACCATCATCAAAAGTCGTATTTATAACATTCAGACAAACAAAAACAGGATCAAAAAAAACATTTACTATATGGTATTAGATCCATTTTCAAAAAGCAAAGTCATTAGACTAACTTTCCGTAATGGAAACAATATTTTCGGTGTGTTTTTTAGTGTGTCTGAATATGATTTGCCCTTGGAAAAATTGACAGTGGTCGATGAGCGCATTCAAATATTTTTGTCATTCCCTTCATATATAATACAAAAATTTTCGGCGAGATGCTTTTTTTCTCTTACTAAAATTTCTCTTTTTTTTTGTTTGGTTATACCGTTTTCTATTTTTTTTCTCTTCTCTTATCTATTAAACATATATAAAAAATGTGAGGGAAAATAAGTATTAAAGGACAAATAAAATCAATATTATCTATATATTATACGTAAAGAGAGAATAGTGTGTGTTTGTGTTTGTCGGTTTACTTATTATCGAAAAAAAATTTTTTTTATCTTTTGCAGCTGCTGCTTCTACATTGCTACGGCTTTTTATAAGTAAAACATTCTTTTTGAAATGTTTTGTGTGTGTATGGATTTGTTATCGTTACATATACATATATCGTTACAAACGTAGTGCAGCATTCACTCGTTTGATTTTATGCTGATTAACTAGCTATATCTTATTGCCATTCTATGCGGCTTCTTCATTTCTTCTTCTTTTTTTTAGTGCGAATGTCATAGATGATACTTCCTACTAACTATATACGCAAAAATTAACCACATTATGTTTAAATAATCTATTCTTTTTCATCAATTAGCTCTTACTAACAACAACAAAATGTCCATCGTTATTTTACTTTCTTTCTACTTGTGGATTTTCTACAAAAATGCGTGTTTATCCTATTTTTGGATTTATTTCTTCATCATTTCGTTTGTTTGTTTTTTGTTCTTATTTAGCTCCTTCTCAAGATGTTCGCGCGTTCTGTTGATTATTTTCCGTTTTTACTTAGACATGACGCTTCATATGCAATGCCAAGTGATCGGAACGTGAAAAGCAACGATCACAATGACGACATTTGAATGGTTTAGCACCGGTATGTTTTCGATAATGACGGGTCAGCTCGTCGCTACGCGCAAATCTCCATTCACAACCTTCCCACGAACACTTGTATGGCTTTTCACCTATAAAAAAAATAAAGAAAAAAACACATTCAAATTAATTCATTTCAGAGATTTTACGAATGGAAATTCAAATGTTGATTGTAAAACTTATTCTAATAAAGTATTTGGAGAAAATTTTATGTTTCTTTTTAACTTGTTCGCATAAGAATGCATTCAGTCACACTTGTGACTTATCACATTATTATTACGTAAATAAAAATTGCTCATTAATTAAACTGATAAACATTGTTTATATCGTTCGGCGAAATGAAAGGCACTCAATTTTGTGGTATGGTTGGAAATTTGGTTTGTAAATTTAAATATATATCTGAAAAAGGAGAATAAATGGAAAGAAATAACTTGGCCTCTCGTTTCTACATGCCTATGTTTATATGTATTATGATTGAACCGAAATTTTCGCTGCAATCCATAATATTGCATTGGACCGGTGAAAATCTTGACATCAAATCATTAAGCAATTAAATATGTGTGTAACATTCATGAATATGGATGTGAAAATTTTCGAATTGCAATCGCAATCAAGCGTCTACCATTTTCCGTCTCTACCCGGTCCAACAAATAATTGCTATGCATGATTTTCTCTCTCTACCTCCTCTCTCTCTCTCTCTCTCTTGCGGAAGATCAACATAGAATGTGCATTCAATTTGGGTTGAAATGTGAATGCATTGTGGCAAATTGCGAATAACCAATCACGATGGCAGCGGAACATAGAAGTGAATGGGCAAACGGGCACATTGTTACATTACAATTATACAAACTCTTTGCAAATTAAATACAATGTGAACGAAGATATATATATATATATATATATATATATATATATAAATAACCATTTCCTTGACTCTATGTGTTTGTATGTGTTGAACAGATGCTTGAAATCATCTAATCACCAATCCCCCATTCTCGTCGCACGCATACCAAACAAATCAACCTTTTTAGTAAAAAGCTTTTACTCATTTAAATTCAGATTTTACACATTGTTCAAATATTTCAATCTTTCTCTCTCCATCTTGACAATTCTGAATGATCGTTGTCTTTACTCATTCATTATCTAGAATGTTGATTTTCAACAATTTGAGATGGAATTCATTTTCTTTCAACTATTTTTATGTGTAGTGCATAAATTCACATCAAATGATAACGTCAATGTAAAGATACATGCATTTCATGTCCAATAAGTAACACATTCCAAGAAGTTGCAAGAGTCCAACGAAGATTTTCTATGTTTTTAGAAATGCGATATGTGTGGAAAGATTGTTGAAAACTTTAAATGAAATATGAAGTATTTCGCTAATTGAAATGGACACTCAAACGTCGGATGGTTTTATATAATAATAATGTGCATACAGTGTACAATCGATTCTTGTACTCTTTGTTCAGCTGTCAAAACTTATAAAAAAGCTATACACACCAATTCGATTAATTCAACGGATAAATTTGCATAATAATTCAAGAAAATGTATGGCCATACGACAAAAAAGTATAAAATCGTGTTTTCGTTAGATTCAATTAAAATCATCAAAACCACACTTTCTCTCTTTCTTTCTTCACTTTCTTCATTTGCAAAACGTTGCTGAAGAATTGGAGTGTGAGGGAAATATATATATTGATACCGAAACGACTAACGGGTAGAACGATGAAGAAACCTAGTGGATGAGATCAAGAGATGAAAATAACATTAATCGAGCTTGAAAAGTGTACAAATATACATATATGTTGGTGTGTTGACTGTTCGATAAATTTTTTTCATCGTTTAAATCAAGGATTGAAGAGAGTGAGTGAAAATTGAGCTTATAAATTGAATTTTCTTTGATGCACTGTGCACAAATATTCCTTAGTGGATATTCCCTTAGGGGCTAGTCATACGATATAAACATCGGTGGAAACTATGTTTCCTATAGACTAAAATATTTACTGAAATGTTTGACCACTTCCAAGAAGTGGAAACTTTATATCATGGAAACAAATGGTCGCCGATTGAAAGTACCTTTGGAATCATGTCTTCAAGATTTAGATTATTACGAACAACCATTGAGCTCAGCGAACAAAATGTTAAGTATTGCATTTTGGCAATATGTGCTCTGCACAATTTGATTATGACCATTGGACGGGATCATTCAATCACAAGAGAAATTATTAACTCAGTCACAAGGCATGTCGATTTGAATTACGATGACGATATCGTGGAAAACGATGAAATAGAATCAAACGAAGCAAAAAATATTCGTAATCTATTCAAAAAATATTTTATTGCTCATGTCGGCGAAGTTCCATGGCAATATGACATGGTGTGATGAAGGATGAGAGGTGAGGATGAGAAGATGAGAGCGAGGAAGAGGTGTCACGATAAAGCGTATAATTTATCATTTTGTGTTTTGTTTTTCAGAAATATAAAACAAAAATTGCTTCAAGATATGACAATATCTCTAAATGTAACTTTACAAGAAATTTCATCAAAATTACATTCGTTGAGAACACAATTTAATCGAGAATGTAGCCGAGAAAAAAAGCAAAAAAGCGGTTCCGGGTGTGATGAAATATATATATCAAAATGGTAATATATGTCCAGCCTACACTTTTAAAAAGTAGGATAGGTATCCGACGAAAGTTTTTCGAATTTGGTACATTATATATTAAAATATCGCAATTGATTTTTTTAAAAAACCAAATGTGGTTTCATTTCAGAATGCGCACTCATTAAAATCAAATGATTTGCCGTGCCTTTTAAATGAGCTAGAAACACGTGATTTGATAGTTGTAAGCACAGATTCTTCAGACACACAGTCCAGCTTTGAAAAATGCAAAAGAAATGCAAGACAAAAAATTATATGATTCGTAAAAAAGATTTCAAATGCCTTTAGTAAAACTATTTACCATATACGTATTGATTCAATACTATTGAAAGCACAAATAAAATGCAACAACAACACCAATACAAATGAATACAAATATGCACTGTATGAACAGTGGTACGCTTATAAATTCTATTGCTTGGTGAAATCACAATGATTGCATTAAAATAAAAACACTTTTGGAAGTATCGACTCGGAAATCGTCACAAGAATCCTTGTTTATTATTATTATGCGTTTATGTGTGTGTGAAAATGAAAAAGTACTGTTCAAAAAGATAGTGTTGGCACATACAATGGGCATTGAAATTGAATGTTCGAACCATTATACACACCAATTGAGTTAAATTGTATACGAACAATAGAAGAATACAATTGTATGTTATCTCTTGTTGCACAAAAAGCAACTTGACTTCGTTGACAAATGACAATATTATATCGCTTTCTATATCTGTATCTCTTTCGTTGTGTGCCTTTTAATTCCAATGCGTCTTAGATTGTAATCACCCAAGTTTCACTCGGTAAATCTAAACCATCGTTTCGTTTAAAAAATATCGGCGAAAAAAATGTCCAATTGATGTATTTAATTTGTGACTTTCAAAAGTTTTGACACTATGAACATTACTAGTTCGATTACTTTTTTGATATTTTCGCAGGTCGATTTCTCATCTTTTTTTGTTGTCATCATCTCATTTACCAAACTCTTCGCACTACACAAACTTGAAATTGATTCGTCGAAAGGGTGTGCAAACTATAATAATGCTCAAATGCATTAATTTCTAATGAAAAATCAACGACGAAAATCGTACCAAAATCAAATAGTAAATGCGTTCAAGAGCCAAACACTTACACAAAATACAACAACAACAACAACAACAACAAAAAATCTAGTCTATTCAATGTGTGTTATGTCGCGCGTGATACTACGTTGACAATCGAGTTCATCCCTTCCTTCCACGGGAACCCGTTAAAAAGGATTCACCGAAACCCACACACACATACACTCACTCTCATCATGATTGAAAAATGAACGATAAAGTGAGTGAGTGAGTGTGAGAGAGAGAAAACATAAGTGTGTGCGCTTTTCACGTTCCATTAATTAAAATTGAAATGCAACATGACAACAATTTTGTGCTGTTCGGAAATTAAATTATGAACAACTTTGTCGCTCGATGCCATTTACTCTTTTTCTTTTGAGATTGCATTGGGTGCAGTGCCAGTGTAGTCAGTATGTATGTGTGTATGTTTTGTGAATGGTATCTGGCGTGCAGGTCTGAGAATGGAGTTAAATGAAGAGCATCGTCCATATTAATGTATTTAGTTTTGCACATAAAAACCGAAATCAAGAGAATGTTTGAGAGAGAGAGAGAAAATTGCTGTCGACAAAGATAGTAGTTAAATGTATAGAAAAGTCGAAGGGTCGCGACAATCGCTCCATATACAGATATCGTGTGTGTGTGTTGACAAAAGAGAGTGAGTGAAAGAGAAAAAGAGATGAAACGTTATAGTGAAAGATCGTAAGCTTTTTAAGTAATACGTTTACTGAACATGGTACATCATAGTGGCTTTTCGTTTCGTTCTATCACTTGCATTTTTTTTTCAAGCTCCATTCCAATTTAACTGTTTATCACATCTCCTTCTTTTTTCTCTATACAATGTGCACGTGTTTCACCTAGATCATTCTTTTTTCCGTTGATGTTGCTCGATTCGCTTCTGTCTAGAGTGTAGTCTTTCTCGATTATTCCTATATATATATATATATATATATAAAATTACAGAATTACTGTTCGCGAAATAAACCGTTCACCGCGTTAGCGTATGTGGACTGAAGTATATCAGTGTTTGTGAGTTAGCCAAATCAAAACGCAACTGCTTCACTATGAAAAAGTACGACGTTTTTCCTTTTTATCTTTTTGTCATTGTAAAGTGGATTGTATAAGGAAGGGAAATTGGTATATATGTGCAGATATGTGACATTTAAGCACGCAAACCAAATATTTCTGCAATAAAGTAAAAGTGTGCATTGCATGTCAGAGCCAGGAATTTCTATGCAAATTAAAAGTTAGTGAATAACACTTCAAAGAAGTGACAATGGAGAGTTGAATGAATGAAAGATTGAAGGGAAAAAAAACACACAGAGAGAGAGAGAGC